CACATGCTTTAAGGAGATGGGACTTCAATTCCCAGAATTCCCCAGCCCACATGCTTTAAAGAGAGTGGATTTCAACTCCCAGAATTCCCCAGCTAGCATGCTTAAAAGATGGGGGGACTTCAACTCCCAGCATTCCAATGCTGGCTGGGGAATTCTGGGAGTTGAAGTCCTCCCAGCCACAGGTATGCGCAGGTGGAAAATTGTCTCCCACCTCCAGAGAGGTAGATGCTGTTTTCCTTCTTAACAGCCTCACTGGAGGATCCACAATAAGACAAAAGGTGGCACCTTCCCCCCCCCCAAAAAAACCTCCTCAAAACTCACAGGTAGACTGCTCTTAAACCTGGAGGTTCTCTTTCACTAGCTTTAGATAAATAGAACCTTCCGTACCAGGGAGGAACCGGACAGAAACTGAGCAGGGAAAACCGATTTGGAGAAAGCGACATGATATTTTCATTCCGCAAACACCACATTTGGAAAACAAAAAGATATTTGGCGGTTCCCTTGCGTAAAAAAACAAAACCAAACCAAAAGGAGAAACTTTCCACTGCCTTTCCAAAGTCGGAAACAAACCTGTGTTGCAAAAACTCAAATATGATTACGTTTTAGATAGAGACCAACAGAGTTGGAAGGGACCTTGTAGGTTATCTAGTCCAACCCCCCTGCCCAAGCAGACCCTACCTTTCTCCCCTCCCCCCAGTTCAGGCTTGCTAACAGCTGAGCAGAAGATCGATTCAGGACAGGTAGTCCTCATTTAATGACCGTTCCAAATTACAACGGCATTGAAAAACAGTGAGTTAGGGCCGTCCTCAGACTTACGACCTTGACATGTGAACTAAATTCAGGTGCTTGGCAACCCTCATATATATGTAGGGTGGTTGCGGCAATCCATGTGATCCCCATGTGCCACCTTCCCATCCAGTAAAGTCAATAGGGGAAGCCGGATTCACTTAATGACTGTGTGATTCATTTAACAATAGCAGTGATTTGCTTAACAGCCATGGCAAAAAAAAAAAAGGTGGTATAATTGGGCATGACTGACATAAACAACCACCTTGCTTAGCAACTGAAATTCTGGCCCTAATTGCGGCTGTAAGTCAAGGACTAGTGAGGAAGGGTTTACCACCCTATTTCTGCTTTGGTATCTTCCTTCCATTCCTCAATCACCCCTTGTTTTAATTTGGGAGATGCCCAAAGTGGGCAGGAACCGAGCAGAGAGACCCTCCCCTTTTATTGTTTCAGTGCCCTGATTGGCGAGAATCTCCTTACTGATTGGGGGGTGAGCGGAAGGAGGCCAGGGGGAGAAACCAATCGCGAGCAGCGGATGCACCAATCAGGAGAGGCCATTTGACGAGAGACTTGGAAAAGACAGAGGTGGGAGGAGCATCAGCTGTGGAGGCAGCCCCTTTAAGGCCATACCATTTTTCTGACTCAAGGAGGGGGTGAAGAGCACTTCAACGCCATGAGCGGGAAAGACCATCAGAGACACGGGCGGGCAGCTGTTATATACCTTCATGTGGTCGTCTGCTTGAATGAAAAGACCAGCTTATCATAATAAAGACTGAAATGAGTGCATTTGCTGGGATTAATCGTGGCTTTGGGGGTGGGGGTGGGAGGACACTTTTTAAAAATATAATCTTGCATTTCTCAGAGAATTCAAGGCAGTCAAGGACTGAGTTTGGATGTCCCTTCCTGTTATTCCCACAGCAACCCTTTGAGGTAGGCTGATGCAAACGACCAAAAACAAAAGAAAAGCCTGCCTCTTTCTGTGCCTTCTCTCAGCTTCTTAGATCTTCTTACACCTTCCTTCTTGCAGCAGGAGTCAATGTTTCCCCAGGCAGGTAGAGACATAGACGTAGAGAATAACTTTATTGTCACTTTAAATGTACACTAAGCTGCATACCTTAAAATGAAATTTCATGCATGCAGCTCTCAAAGGGTCACCACCTCCAATATACATGGCATAACCATGATAGAATAAATGAATAAATGAAAATGGACTGTACTAAACTATACTAGAATAGAATAAAATAGAAAAATATGGAATAGAATAGAATAAAATATAATAGAAAATACGGAATAGAATAGAAAATAAAATAAAATATGGAATAGAATAGAATAAAATAAAATAGAAAACACAGAATAGAATAAGGAATAGGAATACAATAGAATAGAATAGAATAGAAAATATGGAATGGAATAGAATAGAAAAGAAAAGAAAAGAAAAAAATATGGAATAGAATAGAAAATATGGAATGGATTGGAATGGAATAGAAAAGAAAAAGAAGAAAATAAAATAAAATATAGAATGGAATAGACAATATGGAATGGAATGGAATTGAAGAGAAGACAAGAAAAATAAATAAAATAAAATATGGAATGGAATAGAAAATGTAGAATAGAATTAGAACAGAATAGAATTGGAATGAGAACAGAACGGAACAGAACAGAATAACTTTACTGTCACTTTAAATGCACATAACCCGGCATAAAATTAAAGAACCCTTTTCCAACAGTGACCACAACATGATTGATTTTTGTCTCAACATATGTCCACACAAAAATCATCACAACGATGGAATCCCCAATTATAACTTCAAAAAAGGCAACTATGATCTTATAAACAACGATCTCTCATCCCTTGATTGGCAATTTCTATTCACTGGATGCAATACTGTAGAAGACCATTAAAACATATTTTTACTTGAAGTCAAAAGAGTCATCAAACTATATGTACCAATAACAACTCCCCAAACCAGAAAAAAACAGATTACCCATAACAATAAGGAAACTTCAATCCAAAAAGAAATCACTTTGGCGGAAAAACAAATCTGGTCACGTTGCCAACTTCAAAAGTCGATACAAAAGTTTATGCCACAAGATAAAGACTGAATGCACCAATTATCACATTGTTTAATGTCTTGTTTAAGAGGAAAACCTTCTATGCACCAATTCCACCTGCGCTTTCTACAATTTTGTAAACAACAAACTAAAAAACTCAAGGTCCATCCCACCCCTGAAAGGACCTAATGGCAAAGATTGCAACAACAACACCATTAAAGCCAACATCTTTAACACATTCTTCAGCTCAGTGTTTGTAAACAGCAATGGATCATGCCCAGTATTTCCTAGCCGAACCACAGACAACTACAATGATCTAATACATATTGATTTTACAGAAGACATTGTTGAAAAAGCACTACGCAATCTAAAACCATCTCTATCTATTGGACCGGATGGAATATGTGCCTACTTCTTAAAAAAGCTATCCACTGCCATAGCAGAGCCTCTAAGCATAATCTTTGAAAAATCTTTCAGGACCAGCTCCTTGCCAAAACTATGGTCACAAACCATGGTCATCCCCACCCTCAAAAAGGGAGACCCCAACCTAGTTGAAAATTACAGACCAATCTCTTTATGCTGCGTCACCTGTAAAGTCATGGAATCAATTATTAACCAATCCATCATCCTCCACTTAGAGACAAACAACCTACTCTCTAATAAACAATTTGGTTTCAGAAAAAAACTATCCTGCAATCTGCAACTCTTACACTGCAAAAACCTATGGACTACACAACTCAATCAGGGCAAAGCAATAGACGCAATCTACACAAACTTCTGTAAAGCCTTTGATTTAGTGGTACATGACAAACTACTCCTAAAACTAAAATCTTATGGTATCTCTGGACACCTGCATAACTGGATAGAAGCATTCCTGTCAAGCAGACAACAAATGGACAAAATTGGGAGTGTCCTATCAAATTCTGTACCTGTCAATAGTGGTGTCCCCCAAGGCAGTGTTCTAGGACCAACTTTCTTCATACTCTACATAAATGACCTCTGTGATCATATTAAGAGCAACTGCGTTCTCTTCGCTGAGTGGTCAATGTCTGGAATACTCTACCTCAGGCTTGTCCAACCCGCGGCCCATGGGCCGCATGCGGCCCAGGTCGCCTCGTAATGCGGCCCAGTGCCCACCCCAACCTTCGTGCCAGAGCCAGCGAGGAGGAGGAGGAGAGGCAGGCGCGAGGTGGGGCGAGGCGAGCACCAGGCCAAGCAGCAAGAGAAAAGGCGGGCGCCGTCAGAGCGCCACCTCCTGCTGGGCCGCCGCTTCTTCCACCGCCACCGCTTCTGCCCTCGCCGCCACCCCCGCCGCTTCTTCCCCCGCCACCGCCGCCACTTCTTCCCCCGCCGCCACCCCCGCCGCCACCGCTTCTTCCCCCGCCACCACTGCTGCTTCTGCCTTCCAGTCCTGCCTCATCCAGTCGGGCCATTTGCAGGAGTAGAGGTAGGCGTGAGGCGGGCGAGCTTCCCCCCCCCCCGC